TTGAAATTATTAAAAAATGAGAGCTGCATATGAATACTTTGGTGTTTAAGTAATTGACATAAGTGGGACAACGCGGGATAAAAAGAGACCCAAAATAAAAAAAACAAAAAAAAATCAAATTTTGTCCCCTCCCATCTTTTTATTTGGACGGAATAAGATGATAGTTAAGAAAATCAAATTCTGTCCCTTTCTCATTTTTTTATTTGGACGCAAGCCCGATCGTGAGATTTTTGGGATTCAAAATCGATAATTAATTGATAAATTTTGAGGTCTTTTACATTTTTTTTTCATTGAATGAAATAAAAAATTTGAAGATAAAGGATAAAAGATTTGTGTCAAAATCATAAAAAATACTTAACATTACATTATAACAACTAATAAGTATTACTTGATTCTTGCTCTTCTTATATTTTTAGAAACAAATAAATCAATCATATTTGCATAATCTAATTTTTTTACAAAATCATTTTTAATGGATAACAATGCTAATTATTTTAAATGGGCCTTTCAATTTTTTTAATGAGTCAATTTATTTTAAATTAGTTTGAGCCTTCCTTAATATTTTTTGGACTTAAAACATATCTAATGTATTACACTAAATTATAATAGGAGGGGGGTCCCTTTTTTGGGTTTATTGTCGATGAATAACAATACTAATTTTTTTTTGAATGGGCCTTTCAATTTTTGAATGAGTCAATTTATTTTAAATTAGTTTGAACCTTTTTTTTATTTTTTTTATTTTTGGACTTAAAATATGTCTAATATATTACACTAAATTATAATAGGATGTGATCCTTTTTTTAGGTTTATTTTGAAGGGCTCTAGGTCATGGCCTGATGGACCTATGCCCAAGACCGGCCCTTTGAGGCAACAAATTATCATCCCTACATGTATTAAAAAAAATGAAAGATTACTATTTTATGTGTCTTATTATGAACACATATATTGAAAATCAATGTCATTAAATGATTTTAGCTATATTATTTTCTACAAAACAATTTCATGGTCATACTATTTTCAACAATTGTTTAAAAAATAATGGCTAATATTCTTTTCATTATTATATAAAGATGAACACATCTAGATAAATACTATATAATGGCAGGTATTGAATTATGAAAATCAAAACCCAAAAAACTTTAAATGATTAACCGCAACAAAATAGAATTGGTTGGATTTATGATCATTGATCATTTGTCCCTTGTAGGGGTGGGCACGGGTCGGTTGCGGTCACGGAACCTTCAATTCACCATCTGTTTGTCAGATTGGCGGATTAGAGAAAATCAATCCGCATCCGTCCGCCAATTCGACGGATGTGGATTGAGCGGATCGGCGGTTTGGCAGATGGATGCGAATCGGTTTGGCGGTTTAAAATTTTATAAATTTTCAATATAATTCAACTTGTACACTTCCTTAAAAAAAGAAGAAGAAAGTATTACAGTTAATGATTCAAAAAAATATTACAACCCCTGCATGCCTCATCCAAAGCAAGAAAGTTTGAAACTTTAGAATATTACAATCACTGCATGCCTTATCCACATACTACAATAACAGCATGTCTCATCCACATAAAGTGTTATAATTTGTGGTTCTTAAAATATAAAAACAATTCAAACCACTAAAGCCATGACCAGAGCAGTAGTAGAGATTTTATGTCTCTGTACTGTTACGTCTATATCTGTTTTTGAAAACAAAAACCAATCAGTATATATCATATTTTCTATTTGTTATTTTTAGAGATAGATTTAAAAATCAAAAAATATAGATAAATAATACGTTTATTTTTTTCAATTCAAAAAAGATATTCAAGTTTAAAACTTTTTTTCAACAGAATATTTAAACTCTTTTTTAATTGAAAAACACAAACAGAATATTTAAACAAGCTGAAAACACAAAGTCTTATAACTTATTAGGGATGCTCGCGGTTGGCGGTTCGGTTGCGGTCAAAGGAATCTCAAATCCGCCATCCATCCGCCAGATTGGCGGATTGGAGAAAATCAATCTGCAACCGTCCGCTCGTCATCACACATCCGTCCAAAATGCGGCGGATCGGTTTAGTTCGGTCGGTTTTGGCGGATCGATATATCCGCTGCTCACCCCTAGTCCCTTGTGTACCTACTTTTTATATGGATCCAAGAGAAGATATATAGATCATACTCAACCTTATTTAAAAGGACATTACTATTTTAGTTCAAAAATTATATTTATTTTTGAACTCTTGAGATCTCATTTGACAATATCACTTTTAGTCTAAAAGTTAAAAAGTCACTAAAAAATTCAAAAATTAAAAATTTATATCAAAAAGTCAAAAATTCAATTTTTTTTCTACTTTTTGCACATATTTTCATAAAAAATCAACAAGTCATTTCAAGCATACAAATATTTTTTACATCATACTTTAAAAAAAAATCAAAAAATTATTAAAAAAACCTTGTTCCTAAACGAAAGAGAAAAAGGAGAGAGTACGTTTGTGTGTGTGTGTGTGTGTGTGTGTGTGTGTGTGTGTGTTTGTAACTATGTTGGTCGTAATAAGACTTTAATGAATCAAAAGGTTAGAAGAAGCCACTTTAAGAATGTCTATTTAGTTTTAAATATATACATTTGTAATTTTTTTTTTAAATTATTTAAGAAAATGGGGGTTCGATTGGCACCGACCTACCGGTGCCATATTGGCTCCGCCCCTGGTTTTTGTTGATACACTATAAATAGTGTTTTATCGCTCCATTCTTGATTTTAGTTGATAGATCATGAACAGTGCCTTAATAGCTTTGCTCCTGGCTTTAGTCAATAGACCATGATCAGTATTATATTATAAATTTCTTAACTACTACTTTTATGTATTATGTATTCGTTGATTTGTGCCAAATATTTTATTTTTTTTAAATGCAATTACAAGTGAGAATCTTTGCAAGTAGAGGATATGACAAAAGAAAAATGCTTGGGAGCACTAATTAGTGCTCCCACTAATTAGGTGGCAGTGAGTCCCGCTATTAATGATGTGATGTTTTGGTGTTGGAGTTGTATTTTTTTTTTTTTTACTTTTTTAATGCATTAGTGCTATTAGTGGTGATGTTTTTAGTGGGATGAATGATTGTTGTATGACAAAAAAGGTTGACAATAAAAAGTATATATATATATATATTTTGAATTAGATTAAGAATATTATTGTTGCCTTATTTCTAAAGGGGTCAAACCAATCTTTTGTAATACTAGGTATGTTTGACTTAGGTCAAGTTTGACATGATTGAAAAAAGACAAAAAGTCAAAAAATCACATTATCTTATTGAAGTCACATCACCTCTCTAACACATCACTTCAAACCCAACCCATATTTCATAAAAAGTCAAAAAGTGCACTTATTTAGTTTTCCCAAACTAGGTCTTAGTTATTAATTTACAGTAACCTTATTTTATTTTGTTTTTTTTAATGAATAAAACAAAAGGATGACTTGCTTTATATTTTTAACATTTTATTTTCTTCTAATATATAAAGGGTTTCGATTGTCATGAACTTTGGATAAAGTCATAAAACTTAACTCAAAGCTATGGTGACATACTTACAACTATAACTTGTACTTAAAACAATAAATTTACCATGTTGACCATTTCAAGCAATATTTATTAAAAAAATGTTATTTATAAAAATATTAATTTTTTCACATATCAATAAAATGATATTATTAATTATACTTATACCTATAATTTTTACTTACATATCAATAAAATGATATTATTAATTATACTTATACCTATAATTTTTACTTAATAAAACTAAATAAATGATGACAATTTTAAGCTATATTTTTGCCAAAATATGTCATTTATAAAAATATTATTCATATGCTTATAATTTATAAATGTTTTGATTTAAAATGAAGAGACTATAAAAAAAAAAAAAAAATTTCGTGATTCTATATAAATTTTTTTTTTTACAAAAACTTGTTTGAAATATATATATGCAAATCCCAACTACATTATGCAAATCCTAACTACATTCAAGTTCCATACTAGTTTGAAAATAATTTTTTCAGGCTTATGTTGTGTTTAAATCATAAATTTAAGTAGGAATTTAAAAAGAAAAAGAGAAAAGATGAGTGAAATGTTATTGTGTGGAAGTGAAATGTTACTTTCATGTAAATATCAAGATCAAGATCTGGCTTAATGTTTGATTCCTTCTCTCTCCTAGACAATATTGTTAACAAGTCTGCAAAATTTTCAAATTCAAACAAAATTGATTCAGACCCAGTTCAAATGTTCCAATCACAAGAAAAAACAGTAAAACAGAAACAATCAAACACACATAACACAACATATACGTGGTTTATATGTCTACATCCGTAGAGGGGAGATAATGATCTCGGCTCTCTGCTTTTGTAAAATGCCGCTTAGAGCAACTCCAGTAGTGTGCTGTATATTGTTCTATTGCTAAAATTTGACACAATGGACACAAAAAATCACTCTAACAGTGTGCTATTCATCGTGCTAAATTTAGCATGATAGAAGTATTGTGGCAAAAGTTAGCATAATGAACGTTTGACCCTAAAAATGTCGTGCCACGTATTTCTTTATATAGATTCAGTAAAATTAATAAATTATTGTAAAAATTAAAATTAATATTTTTTAAAATATTAAGCATCATATTAAAATTTGATTCAAAATACAATTTGAAGACATTTCAAATACATAAAAGAAAGTAGCTTAAAAACTTTACCCTTCTTGCAGAGACCACGCATGTTGAATAAGATTATTATGAAATGTATGATGGATTTTAGAAGATTGATATGAACTCAATCAATTGGAGTGTTGGCCCTCATGATAAACATAAAAATTGAAGTTTTTACAGATATTATATCAGGGAACATTTTTTTTAGTTAAAAGTATAATTTAAAGATGTTGCGAATACATATAATTAGGTACATACGGTTGTGTCATATGGTCGAAATTAGATTATACGGTCATCATGCTAACAAAAATAGCATATGCACTACTGAGGTGGGTATATCAAAATATTATATTTGACATTATAACATGCTAATATATGGCATTGGCACGATTGAAATAGCATGATCTACTAGAGATGAGTGTATAGTAAAAATACAACAAAGCTAAAAAATAAAGAAACCAAAAACAAAACCTGACACAAAAAGATATGAATGGACAAGATTCTGCAAGATTTATTGGTAGGACTCACTTATCAAAATCATATCCATTCATTTGTTTTCTGTGACTGATTGTGTTTCTTTTATGTGTTCATAGATGCCTCATAATAAGATTCATTTGAAATCACAAGATAAAACAAGTCCCCAGCACTTGGTATCAAATGATTTAAACTCATAGTTGTCTTACTTTTAGATCTGAATCAAGTTTTCCAGCCAAAGCTAGCAGCAATGAGGTCTTCCCAGAGCTTGGTGGGCCTAAGAGCAATGCCATTCTGCAAAACCGGATCAATGAAATGAGAACTAGGATGTGTTTGGTGACTCAGTAACAGACTAACTTAGAAGTTGAAACTATTTTCGAATTTTTTTTTAAGAACTTATTTTTTGGAATGACTTGCCTTTAAAAAAAATTACCAAAAAGTTGTTTTTCATATTTTTAAAAATTGTTTTCACACAAAAATAAAAATAAAATTTAAACGGTGAGTGTTTTTGAACTTTCATTGTTTTTTGTTTCCAGAAATACCAACAAAAAAAAAATGAAAACGAAAACAAACCCAACTTCATTTTTATTCTCACCTGCCAGGCTTAATGATTCCACTGACATTATGAAGGATTGCTAATGGTTTCTTCCTACTTGGAAAAATATGGAGATAATTCAAGAAAGAACCCCTTTTCAAGAGAGAGACAGAGAGAGAAAACAAGGTTAGTTTAATTTACAACACAGACATCAACATGTTTATGTGATATAATATAATTGAGAGAATTCACCTCTAAAATGTTGATGGAGAAGTTGAGAATTGTTGGCAGTGCTCTACCGCCAACATAAGCTTCTGAGTTGACATTTAAATGCTCGAACCGGACTTCAATGGTGGGAAGATCAATTCCAACTCTGTAAAAAGAAGTTTTAAAAAACAGAGACAAAAAATAAAATAAAATAAATACTTCAAACACAGAAGAAACACAAGAAAATCAACAACTCAAATCCAAAAAACTATTACATTTATGTTGAGATTGTTAGTTTAGCAAAACAATAAACAAAATGTTAAACAAAAATATTATGATAATAAGTAGAGATACGAGTAGTGTTATTGTCTTAAAATTTCTTTTTCTTAGTGAAAAACATACAGGATAAAAATCTATTTTGCTCGAAGGGTGTTCACCACCGCTAAGAAATCTTGTCTAGAACGAAAATTGCTAAAAAATATAGGGTAAGTTACATTAACACCCTTCTATATCTATTAAATTACATTGACATCCCTTTATTTTATTTTTTGATTTGATTTTAATTTTAATAGCGTCTCTAACCCTTATCTAAATCTTTACTCAAACTTATATCAAATTGAGTTTTACCCAAATCAAGGGATACCCATTTCTTTACTCAAATCTCTATTCAATCACAGCGGCTTAGACACATGACCGAAAGGCAATTTGAAAAGCTAGCTAAAAGTTTTTTGGTCACGTCACTTTTCACATTTTTTACATATAAAACGATAAAAAAATTTTAAAAAAAACCAAAAAAACTCCAAAAAAAAATTAATTTTTAACTAATTTTCCAAATCACCCCCTAATTTTACCCAGATTTTCTATTATTCTCTTTTCAACTCAAAGCATCCCCTCAAAACTTGACACTTTACTCAAATTTTAGTTTGTCTATTGAAGTGCTTCCTATCAAATAAAGCTTTTGGAGAAAGAGCTCCAAAACCGAATAGAGGCAGAGAAAAGTAAATCATCCAAGATGTTAGGAAAAATCTATGATTCTTCATAAGTAAATCAATCAATGAGAATAAAAATTAATGTGAAAAAATTAAATCAAAAACAACACAAGAATTTTACGTGGTTCCCTCAATGTGAGGTACGTCCACGGGATCGAAATCTGATTCCACTATCAACTAAATAAGTTTCCAAACGATTACAAACGAGACACAAATAGTCTCACAAACCATCCTTAGGTGAATTTCAAATAATCACAAATAAATAAGAGGAAAGGTCTCACCAAATAGATGAACAAAAATCTTCAAAAACCAAAGTTAAAAAAAATCCAAAATAATAACCCAAATCAACCTTTAAATCATACCACGTGAGACAAAATTCTCACTCAAGCACAAAGACCTCCACAGATTGATTGGACAATCAAATCTTCAAAAAAAAAACAAAGAACCTTCTTTTCCTTCACCCACAGTTGAAGCTTCACGAATTGATTTTTCAATCTCACACCACCAAAAGTCAACAACGTTCTAGCTGCGTTGGGATCCTCTAGAGTGAATTCCTAGAGTGATCTCCTACAGTGATCCACAGATTGCTGACACGTGTCCCACTCAACTGTCAATGGCTGAGATTTAGCCTGAATAATTTTGAAAAAAAAAAATTCAAAATTCAAAATTCTAGGTTTCAGAGAGTTAGAGAGAGAGAGAGAGAGAGAAGGGCTGAGAGAATGAGAGAGGAGGATCGCCGCCCCACCCCGCTCCCTACATGCTGCTGCCAATGCCTAACCCACCATACTCCAAAGAATCACGATCTTCCCTCTCCTCTTCTTCATTCTCTGTTCAGTCTTCTTTATCTTTTTGATAGATATGAGAGAGCTGATTCAATAATATGCTTGATTTGATCCACATGACAGGATTTCTTGATGGATTGATCAATTTTGTGTTGTTGGACTTTGTGTTGTTTAATTGGGACAAAGTTTTGAGGTCTGGTAGGCTTCTGTCCAAAGTTGATAAAGATGACAAAGAGGTTTTCTTCTCATATATATATATATATATATATATCTTAGATCTGGGCACAAACAAAACATAGGATTTTTGTGTCCCTCAAGGTTGGTTTTCTTAGATCTGGGTTAAAAGAGGCTAATTTATTTACAAACCTCTTTTGATCCTTTGGTATTTGAACAAATCTCCCCCAAAAAGAAATTTATTGTAGTTATTTTTTCTGAGTTTTCCTTGTTTTCTATAAAATTTTGATTTGTTCTTTGGTTTTGGTTAAGAAACAAGTTGATTTTATTCTTGTTTGTAAAATTTTGGGTTGATTTTAGGTTGATCTTCTTTTTTGTTTTAGGTTGATTTTCTTACCATTTCAATTAGATTCAGAGAAGAAAATCAGTTAGATTCAGAGAAGAAAAAGGAGGAGGAGGAGGGAAGGGGAGAGGTAGAACGGCGTCGTCTTGAGAAGAATTGATCTCAACCCTTGGTTCGATTAATGGGACAAGTGTCAAGCTCTCATAAAGTCACTCTACCAGATCACTCTAGGAATCCATTCTAGAGGATCCCAACGCACGAGGCGGTCCCAAAAAGATAATAGACTATTTTGGAAGTTGGTTTTTAGTCAACGGTGAAATTACAATTTTACTTTCATGGGTCAAAATGTGTTACATAAGTAAAGTTGTAAATATTTTAAATAAATGGGGGTAGTTTGGTCATTTTATTATGATTCGACATCATAAACAAACATTAATAAAAAAAAGTCAAAAGTCACTTTTTATCAACTTCCCAAATCATTTGTCTAAAAAAGTCAAAAGCTTGGTTAAAAGTCAAAAAGTCACTTTTTACTATCTTTCCAAAATAAGCCAATGTCATGAATCTCAAATTTTTTATTAAATAAATAATTAAATATTTTTTATAAACATAAAATTTGTAATTTTATAAATTTTGCATTCATATAAAATATTTAATCATCTATTTAATAAAAAATTTAAAATTTATAACATTTTTCGTCCCAAAATGCATTTAACTTGAGTCAAATGAGCATATGTATCCTACATAATTTGAGATCTTTGAGAGATGGAAAAGATGGGCATCAAACAAAATTGTGTCCTCAATATAAAACAAATTGTAAGATGGTTGGTAGACCCCCCCTACCTCCATTATTTGGGTGCCTTTCTTTTGACGAGTCTCATGATTTTGGGTTCTTTGGAGAGGATATTCTATACTTGTGGGATATAGTAAAATGTATTTTATAAAAATTGTGATTGGAAAATATGAAAAGATTTACGATTTTATACTAAAAATTGTAAAAATTACAAGACATGTGATATTTAATAATTGGTTTATAACACCAAACACGCGATGTACGCAATCACTGAGTAATTTTTCCCTCAACGGAATTTGATTTAACACATCCTCTCCCACTCACTATGGTTCCAAGAATGATTGGCACATATGAATACATTCATGCATCTTTCTCTATCTTTCACGGATTGAAATATTTCTAGGGGCCCCCAAAATTGCGCACACACAAAAGAAATAAAATAAAATAAAATAGAGCTGTATAAAGTGATGACATGTAACATGTTTTATACAATTGAGGGTGTTGGGTCTGCTTTTGTGGGTTTGCGGTTGCGGAGGAGGGAGGTTTTGTTGGGCGGCGGAGGTGGTAAGGTATGGCAGTGGTGCTCCGATTGAGCTTCTTCACCAGTTGGATCCTCCGGTGGGTATTCCACCGCCATGGTCGTCTGTGTGTGGTTCCAGTGGATTTGCTAGAGGAGCAGTCTTGTTTGTATGTATGTTTTTTTTTGCATGAATACTAATAAAAAGGGTAAATTACATTGAACCCCTTTCATGTTTCTGTTCAATACAGATTCTCTTACATTTAAAAAATTACATTAGACTCTTTGATGTTAATAATCTCATTACAAATTGTCTTTTGAATTGCTGTTATCATGAGTAATTTTATTTTCACACACCATTTATATTTTGTGCATATCATTTCTTAGTTCATACACTTATTAATTTAGTTATATATTATGTTTTTCTCATTTCACACATCAAATATTCTAAATATATTCTTAACTCATAATTTAAACACAAACCACACAAAATACATTTACACACATCACAACAGTAACTCCGGGATATTCAACAACCCACCAGCATATTTTCAACAGTTCTTTAGAATCAATCAACGAAGAAATGATGAAAAGATTAATGGAAGTTGATGAAATCTTTTTTTTTTTTTGGGAGGGGTTCGTAATCAACGATGAGAGTAAGTTTTCATCGCGATCAAAAAAATCTTAAAACAAATCATATGAAAAGTTTTCATCATTGAAATTTTTGTTCACAATCCTATTGAAGTTGAATTTATAAAAGAATAGCAATTCTTTTGTCCAAAAAAAAAAGAAGTAAAATAGAGTGCAACAATGGTGAGAGTGAAAAACAATAGAAGAACAATGTAGGTCTTGCCGTGATTTTTTTTTTTTTCAAAAGATGTGCATTGAATATTTTTGTTCCCAAAGATGTGTATAGAGAAAATTTAGTTTTAAGAGTTGTTGTATATTGATGTCTATAGTTGTCATTTTGTTTAATGGTAAAATTGTAATAAAAATTTAATGTGCACAGAGAGTAAATGATGTGTGTAAATAGAATTACCCTGATGTCATGTCTTAAAATTTTCTAAATGATCATCTTGCCATTTTTTCTACAATTTTTTCTTCTTATCATGATGACTACATTCTATACTTTTCTAAATTCTATCTGAACATATTCTTATTAAGTAATGATATACAAACATAAATTTTATATGAAATTTTCAAATACAATGATATAGCTTAATGATGACTTTCACTTTAAAACAAAACACCCATAAATATGATTTATATTTATAACAATATCACTTTTACAATATTTTTATGATATTTTTTGTATAAATTTTTATATATGAATATAATTTTTCATTTTTATTTCCACCGTTATATGTAGATTAGATTAATTTAATCTAGATATATATTAAAAATATATAATTTGTACAAAAAAAATTAAAAAAAAATTCATTAAATACAACAAAATAAGATAATGTATTGAATTTTTGTATTTTTTTATTATCTTTTTCTATTTGGTGAATTTAAAAAAATCATAAAATATTATAATTCTTAAGTATATCTGTATTAGGTGTATCCATAAAAAAAAATGCTTAGAGTATTAAAAAAATCAGTAAAAATAAAAAAAAAAACCATGAAAAATAAAAAAAATTATTTTTTTTGTGTGAGTTAAACAAAAGAAGATGATTGTTATTACTTTCGAAATGACATGAATAGAATATTTGCATTATTTTATTATTTTATATGTATAAAGGTTAAAAGACAAATATGTCATTTTCTTCTGGCAGGAGAATAAGTGTAATTTTTCAAATGTGAA